CAGCAGGAAGTGTGGTGGTCAAGGTGCTGAATTCTCACATGGCTGACCACGGTTTGAGTCCCAGACCTGGCAGCTTGAACACACTGAGCGCATGTGTGCGCGTGTCCAAAGTCTCGGGAAAGGAGTGGAGGAGAAGGGGTTGTGGAGTGGTCACCTCCTATGGGGTGATTTCCCTTTTCCTCTCTCTCTGTCTCTCTCCAACAAGTGTACGCACCCTACAGCAAACACCTGAAAAAGAAAGACGAACAATGAAGGCTGTCAAGCCAAATAAATGTCTCATGTGCATGAATCTGACATAAGAGGCAGATCCGGGCCAGATTCAGAAACAAGAGGTTTGTATTTTGTCTCCCCACAAAGTTCCTCAGAACCTTGGACTTTATTATTTTTTTAAGAGAGATTTTTGCTAGAGGGTACATGTACTTGCCGGAGAGAAAGAGGGACAGAGAGCGAAAAATCATCCCGGGGTGGGGTGGCCACACTGCAATCCCTCTCTTCCATTCTCCTTGCAGGATTTTGGACACTCACTACATACACACCCAGCGTGAGGTTTAAGCTGCCAGGTTCGGGACTCAAACCATGGTTGACTACATGGGAGGCCAGCCACATACCTATCACACCGTCTGCTGGTCCCAAACCTTGTTTTTTTTTTAACCTCAGAAAACTCCCTCACTCTGTCTTTGGCTCTGAAGCTCTCCCACGCAGACAGAGAAGGCTGCCATTGCATGTTGTCGGACTCCATTAGCTTTTGACATAGACAATCCCGTTCAGGAGGCACTTCTACAACCACGCCCACCAGTCACTCGCCAGCTCTTGCCAGGCACTGCTGGAAGGGACGGAGCAGAGTACTGTTCTTGTCTTCAAGCGGTCCGCATCTCCCCGCCTCGGCCCAAGCCCAGGTTCTCATGTACCATTTACCCACAGCTCCTAGCAACCATGGTCTCTCCCCTCATCCATCCTCTTCCCTGCCGCTGCAGTGACCTTTCCAGAGCACAGTCTGGTCACGCTGCTGCCTGACGGAGGCCCGAGACAGCTCCCTCTGGCCCACACCAGCCGACCTCAGACAAGGCCCAGATGAAAACAGGTGCCCTCTGAGCCGCACCGACCTGGGCCGTCGCTGAATGAACTAACGATGGTGTTTTCTTGGTTGGCAGAAAAAATCAAGCTCATTGATGGAAGAGTCTCCCCTCTCTCTCTCTTAGCCTCAGTCCCTGCTGCTCTTGGCTGTTAGAACACTGTGTACGTCTTTATCAGATTTAGCTCAGAACCACGCATTTCATTACAGTTGTGCTTTGGGGATCGTGTTTTCTTGGTTTCTGCATGTAGGGGCTCTGTTCCCCCAACACACCAAATGCTCCCTACAAGGGAAGGCTGGTCGTCCAAGCCCTCTTCCGTGGGCCTCGCAGGTTTCTCCTCCTCTCGGGTGGTGTCTCCCTGCTTCGCTGGTGGCCTATCTTCAAGTCTCAGCACCCCCACTGCAGGCATAACACGTGTTTGAGAAATGGTACACAGATGGAG